TAATTTCATTTTAAGGTTTTTATATTTTTAAAAATTAAAATTAAAAACTCAAAATCATTATCACATTAAATAAAATCTTAATTAACCATCAATTCAATTTTAGTTGCAACCAAAATAGTTGAACCATATCCAGCCCTACTCCCTTTGCATGCTTCTATGTGGCCGGTAAGTAACGTCGGAATCCTACTTTTATAGCCTTCCTTCCTTTCCCACAATCTTTCGAGTTCAAACAAATAATGGTCAACCTAATAGTTAAAAAACCAGGGGCGGAACGTGGAGCAAGCCCATAGTAAGGTTTCTTATGCCTTTGTTTTCCTTGGTTGACAAGATTTCAGAATAAAGTAAAATTGAAAACGAGTAATTTATTAGTACTTAATTAACTTCCAATTATAATCTTTTGTAAGCAATCTCTTTTTTCTGTCTACTCTAAAACCCTCCTGTTTCTTACTAGAAACTTCCCAAAGCTCTATCGTTGTTTGTGCTTGGAAGCCCCTCAAGAGCCAGCGGACGGTTCACCTTAGCCCGTTGACCTTCCTTAGTGGTCTTTCAGCTTCTTTTGCGGCTGCTTTTGGCGGTCTTCGTTTTCTTTTCTTTTTCTAGTTCGTTGTCTGTTCACACCTCAACTTAAAATTTCAAAAGTTTGAATTAGATTTAAAAATGAAGTTTTAAATAATTATAAAATTAGAGTCATCATTAATCTAAATTATAAGGTAAAATAAGTAATTTAAAATAAGTTTGCATAAAACCCGAGACTCAGGGGTTTGATTAGAAGAAAAGAAGAACATACGCACTCCTCTCAGTCCTTTATATAAAACAAGGTTATATATTTTAAATTTGGGAGGTTTATTTCAACATGAGTTAATGGCCTTAAGTGAAACAAATCAAACATGTATGGGTATGAGAATTGAAAGTTTGGGTCTAATTGAAAGGAAATGGAATGTAAATGTCATATTGAAGTAAATAACTAAATACTTAAGTAGTAATCTCTTCTTTATAAATAAAATATTGACATTTTATTGCCAATGTAATGAGTATTGATTTTATCCATGCAAAAACATTAAGTCCACTATAAGAATTAAAAAAGAAGGTTAAGCTGCTCAAATGGCTGAGTTTAAAATTTTATTTATTTCAATAAAATTCTAACGTTTAATTCAGAATCTGGAATAAGTTTGAGGGTTTAATATAAGGTTTTGTTAATAATTAACTTAATCAAGGCAATGGGTTGGGTCAAAATCAGTTGGGCCCAGGTTGGTCTGGGCCCGTTTTACTTTTTAACTTTTTCTGTTTTGTGAGCCCACCAGAAACGCAATAGGGCCTAGCCCAAAACAAAAAGGAAAGACGGACCCGTTGGCAAAATCTGAGTATTGGGACTAGCCGGCGGAAACGCATTCCCCAGAACCCGGCGAAGTCTGGAAATACCGGCCAGAACTTCCAGATTCCGGCGATGTCTAAGAAATGAGAGAAAACCCCAGAAAAATGCAGAACACCACTAGCAGCTAATGCAGTCCAAATGCCACTAAATACAGTGAAATATCTGAGATTTGGGCATGCATATTCATGATTTTCAAATTCACAGTACATTCAACCGAAAATTCATCAATAAAATCAGCCCAAATCCATAGATCTATACTTAAAATGAAAAAACAGGCACGTAGGAGGCTCTTTGTAGGTTGTCATGCTTCCGGGTATACCGTTTTATAGTCCTGGAGGCAAAAAACCCGAAGGCGCCCCTTAAGTGTTCGGATCTGGAAATTACCTAGCTAAAGGAGACCGAAATGTCACCGGAATCTGGCCGGGATCTGCGGTTGTTTCTCTCCCCTCTACTGCTTTCAAAACCCAGACGGAGACTCCCAGAGACTCCCCTGCTGTTGTTTCTTGGGTGTATATATATACCCAAGAAATAAAAACAAATGAAAACCTCAGATCTGCCCGGAGCCCTCCGATCTTCCTCTTTCTTCCTCCCCACCGTAGATCCAAAAGGGACAAAGTTGGAATCCCTCTTTTCCATCTTGTTGAAAGGTAGGGCCGTAGGGTCCATCTTGCTGGAGTCGAATGGGAAAGGTAAGGCAGAGGACGCGCCGGGTTTTTTTTTTGGGGGGCGGGGGAGTGGTTTCGACTGAACCCTAACCTCCTTTTATTTTTTCCACTTTTAGCAATGAACGACGTCGTTTGTATGTTGCGATGCGCTTGAGTCCATATCTTTCACCGCCTGTCACTTTAGTCCTCATGTTTCACCCACATTTAAGTCCCTATAAAATGAAACCTCGGATTTAATTTTTCGCAATTTTATATAAAATGACATTTAATTAGATTAAATCTCGAATTTTTCTGGACAACATCTTTTGGATTAAATCTCATATTCATTTGAGCTCAAGAATTTTGAATATTTTTATTTGAAGTAAAAAAAAATCAAGGGAAATTAATATTTTTGAGAAAAATTAAGATTTTTGGAGAAAATTCAAGTTAACTGAATAAAAATCAAATTGTGATAAGTTTCAAGTAAAATTTAAGACAAAGATTAAATTTTAGGTGAGAATTTGAGTTATGGCATCGTTTTCTTCTTTCGTTTGTTACAATTTAGTTATGATGGCCAAGAAGATGATTTGAAAAGAATTAGGGGTTGGTCACTGTTAGTATAAACTTTTAAATTATGACATCATAGGGATTGTGTTAATTTATTTCAAGAATAGATTGAAAGATGTCTAATAGCATTGAAATGTTTGACTAAGGAAATATCCAAATAATAGTTTTCCTCAAAGGTTATTTGTGTGATTTGCTTACTATCTTTCTTTAGTATCTCCAGTTGTGTTTAATGTTTTACTTATAATTATAAATTCTTGACAATGAGATAAGAATTCTGTTCTATAGATGTCATATCGCTTTGTTCCATTAATGTGAGTTTAGGTTTGTTCAAAAAACAACAATAATAATTTTCAATTCAGAAGTATAGAGTGAAAGCTGCCAAAAAAAACTATGACTGCTTCGACTAATTCTTCTGCTTGGATTTTCTCTTCATTGTAAAATTGAGCATGTCAAACGACAAATATTACCTCCTAAAAGCTGGAGATCCTTCAATCAACTCTTGAACATGACTTGGTCTCCAAGATGCCAGGCAAAAAGATCAACGGCCACCCCTAATTTCAAGAAAAGAAAAAAACAGTAAAGAAAGAAACGGAAAGGACCACCGGAGTGACCCCAAAAGAAAACCGACAGACCACTCAAGGTGGTCATCGGACACCGGATCCTGACAAGTCGGCTCCACCGTACATGAGAAGCCGAAGGGCTTCCCAACACCCAAAATCTCGGGAAGCCAAAGGCTTCCAAGCACCAAAAAAACAAAAAAACCAAGCTTGGGAGAAGATGTAGTCAGAAGGAGGGGACTTCAAGAGAGAGACTTTTCCTTAACATATATTCAAATTTAAATTCTTGAAATTCAACAAAACATGCTTGATATTTATTTGTCATTATCTAATCTAATATAATTCCAATACAGCATCAAGAGCCTAAAGAAATCAGAACAAAGGTGGAAGTTTTGGGGGGCAGATCGGGATCGGAAGGGAGGGATCCCACCCACGGGACCAGGCTGCGTTCGTCTCCCTCACTACCTTTCCCAAAAATCCCCTGTTTTCGGTTATACCTAGAAGGAGAGGGAACCGGACTGAAAAGCAACCTTGCCGCAAATGGAGACTGGAGTAGCAGAGATGACAGGAATCCGAGGAGGCCGGCGATTGAGAGAAGAAAGGAGATGCCCAGGGGCTACAGTTACTGTCCTACTGCTTTTGATGTGCCCCGCACGAGGTGATTGGAGGAGATGATGTGCAGCTGTCTTGATCCTGGAGATGGAGCTGCCGTTGAGAATGTGAAAAGGATAGAACCAAGATGGGACGGTAATGGTGATGGTGGCTGTGAAGAGGATTATAAGGGGAGAAGGATCGAGAGATTTTTTTGTGTGCCCCCCCTCTTGTGGCCGCTGCTGTCTCCCTCCAAAACGCTCCAGACCTCCTCCCTTTTCTAGGGTTCCCATTTCGGTATTTGCTTGGATGTGTAAAATGGGTCAAGTTTTGGGTCATGAATCAAATGGGCTTTGGACATGGTTGTAGGCCTGACTTGGGCATTTGAAATATCAAGCATAATGTGCAATTCTGCATTTCCTCCATTTGAGATAGCTGAAAATTGGTCTCTCTGGAACCGGTATGTACTTGACGATCCAGCCGATGGGCCAAGAGACAGCAGCCATGGCGATGCAGGCCCCCCATTGTCCCCAATTCAACCTCTCTGTACTGGCAAATCGCTTCAGAAACTCCACCATCACCACTTGAAGAACAATGGTCATCCCGATGATCGCCAAAAACAGCTTGTTCTTATGAATGCCCTTGAATACGTTCCTCTTCTCCAGCTTCCTCGCGTTGAATTCATTGAAAACTTGGCAGAGCACAAAAGTGTTGAAAATCAAGGTGTCATTCACGGCTTTAGTTACTCCGAAGATTGATTCTCCTCTGAATTGCAGGATCAGGAGTACTATAATCTGGTAAAGAGCTTGAGCTAGGAGGTTCCTCCACATGATATTGGTAATCAAAGGCTCTGTGCGACCAACAGGTGGCTTCTTCATCAGCTCCTCGGTGGGCTTCTCTGTAGCTAGAGCCAGAGCACCCAATGTGTCCATGATCAAGTTCACCCACAAAAGCTGAACTGCCGTTAAAGGAACTTCTCCTGCAGAAATGGCTGCCATGAAGTTGATCACCAGAGCAGCAACATTTACTGTCAGCTGGAATTGAATGAATTTTTGTATGTTGGTGTAAACGCATCTTCCCCACTTCAAAACGGTGGCCACGGAAGCGAATTCGTCATCCAGGATGACAATATCGGAGCTCCCCTTCGCAACTTCCGTCCCTTGAATCCCCATTGACAATCCGATGTCAGCTTCTTTAAGTGCTGGAGCATCATTGGTACCATCTCCAGTGACTGCAACTACATGTCCTTTCTGTTTCAAGCACTGTACCATGAGAAGTTTGTCAAAAGGGGACGATCTTGCCATAACGCAGATCTTCTCCACCTTCTCCATCCTTTCTTCTGGTGTATAGTTGCGGAATTGCTCGCCTTCCACAACGGCTCCACTATCCCTGTCCTGATCCGGCCGGAGAATCCCACATTCAGTGGCAATAGCTCTTGCTGTGAAGACATTGTCGCCAGTAATCATCTTGATGTTCACTCCGGCAGACCGGCAGTCCTCCACCGCCTTTTTCACCCCTGGCCGACATGGATCCTTGATACCCACAAGTCCCAACAGGGTCAAGTTTTCCCCTTCAAGCTTTTTCTTCTCTTTCACATCTTCTTCCTCTGTTTCTGCAACTTGTTTGTGAGCAAAAGCAATGCATCGGAGACTGCTTGCTGCCATTCCCTGAATAATTTTCTTGAATTCCATCCTTTCTTCTTCATTAAGATCTTTCATAACACCTGAAGCATCATAGTAGCTTGAGCACATAGCCAAAATCATTTCTGCTGCTCCTTTCCAATGAACATAAACTGTGTTATCTTCTTTTTTCTTGATCAAAACTCCGCTCTTTTTCTTCTGAGAATTGAATGCTTCCACAAAGAGAATTGTGAAATTCCTCTTCATTTCCTCCATATCCATCTTCATCTCCAGAACAGCCCAAGAAAGAATTGCCTTTTCCGTTGGACTTCCAGAGAATTCAAATCCTGACCCCGTAGAACCTCTGTAAACACTTCCGGTTGTGTTCAGAGAAACTCCTTGATGAATCAAGTTAACAACAGATGAAGAAATTGAAGAATAAGCTTCATCCATGGTTTCCTTCCCCAGCCAAAACTTTGTCACCTTCATCTGATTAAGGGTAAGAGTACCTGTTTTGTCAGTGCAAATTGTGGTGGCAGACCCCATAGTTTCACAAGCAGAAAGCTT